TTGTCATCGCGGAAATATGCGTGGACGCGCAGAAAAGCAGACGGACCAAATGCCGATGGCCGCCACCAACACAGCTGACAATGACTCGGTAGCCAATGGCGATGCGGCTTAGGGTGCCGCGCGTTTCAAACCGCTCAAACCACGTGATAAAAAGGCCTTGTTTTTAATTTTTTTTGCCCACGTACGAAACTGGCGGTCGTCGGAGCTGTAAGAAGGAGGCCGGACGCAACTTTCCCCACCGATCGCGCTGGCGGGCGGCACTGCGACAGGGAGCAGCGCGCAGTCAAAGATGGCCAATATCGGCACAAATTCACGAAATTTTGAGCCACCGCGATGGCTTCATACACATTTTTTTGCATTTTGCAGTTCGAATTTAGTTTTGAAATTTTCACAGATGAAAGAAGAAGGTTTGAAGATTACAATGCAATAAAAATCAGAAATACGAGAAATTTCGCTAATAACGCGATTTTTTGACTCGCATCTCCCCTTAAATGCACATAATCCCCTATGGAGAGACTCCCGTTTAGATGCGCAAGGACGCCTAATAGAACACTTTCTGTTTTCGTCAGGTGCATGTGTACTAAACAAAAAATAACAACCTATTATAGCACTACACACAACACATACTCTTCTATAGACCTGAGTATTGTCTCGAGTACATTAATTCCATATCTAAAGTGGTTGAGATGTTGAAGTTAACAAAAGAAGATACATGCTCGCCTGGCTTTCCTCGTTGGAACACCGTCATGCTGAGTATTGTCAGCTCTCGCATACATGCGCCACAAAAGTTCCTGCAAAACAAACTTGCCGCAACTTGCATGCAGCAGCCGCGACGCTTTGCCGGTATGTACGGGGCAGAAGTCCGTAAGTCTCTCAGCCAACTACAGATCTAGTGTGACGTCGCTAGAACTTTTGTTGCCCTTCCGCAGAGATGCGTCAGTGTTGGACGTGCGCGCAATGAGCCTCGATTAGGAGAATGAGCATTCAGGTACACTTGGGAAGTGACTTGGAAATATATTCTTAAGCCCACAAGATGCTTGCTATAGCCTTGAAATTTGATGGCACCACCCCATCCAGAGTGCCGGCTCGCGCACAGTTGACAATCGCAGCACGTTGCTCAACAACCAAGTAACAACTGTGACAGTGGTTAATTTAAACGCAAGCTTTGGATACATGTGTGTTCTTTTCTAGCACCGTTCTCAGTTTGTTTAAGCCGCACGCTTCCAGTGCCGAGCTATGACAGTCGTTCATCAGCACTCATCCTGTGCGTTTCCTTTTTGTGCGTCCTTCCGTGCTTAAGCGGCGTGTTGCATGTACGGCGTTGCTTGGCCTTGTTCTTGTTACATTCAAATTTTTTCTATCACATTCACTGCTTCACCCTAGCCACAAAGTAACTTTTTTTTTCACATGCACGTTTGCAAAATGGGATCATGTGCACCCACGCCGCACTACTGCTTCAGAAATGCACAGAAATGAGGAGTTTGAAAGGTTCACACACTGATGTACCACATTTAGGAGGTTTCAATGTCGATATGAGAGTGCACTGGCCAGGTAATTCAAGGATTTTCAAGGATTACGAAAAATTCCAGAATATTAAAGGGCCTTGAAAGTACATTTTTCAAGTTCAAGGGTTTTCAAGGATTTCAAGGACCTGTACGAACCCTGGACGCTGCGGCTACTGCTTACCCACGCCGCACTACTGCTTCAGAAATGCACAGAAATGAGGAGTTTGAAAGGTTCACACACTGATGTACCACATTTAGGAGGTTTCAATGTCGATATGAGAGTGCACAGGCCAGGTAATTCAAGGATTTTCAAGGATTACGAAAAATTCTGCGGCTACTGCTACCCACGCCACACTACTGCTTCAGAAATGCACAGAAATGAGGAGTTTGAAAGGTTCACACACTGATGTACCACATTTAGGAGGTTTCAATGTCGATATGAGAGTGCACTGGCCAGGTAATTCAAGGATTTTCAAGGATTACGAAAAATTCCAGAATATTAAAGGGCCTTGAAAGTACATTTTTCAAGTTCAAGGGTTTTCAAGGATTTCAAGGACCTGTACGAACCCTGGACGCTGCGGCTAGGTAGCATGCCAGAGTTGCTCGACTCTCAAGCCACTCGCTTGTTTATAAAAATATTTGATTATAAATTAACGGCTCAACCCAAGTCACTCAAGTTTTGCCAGCTTGTCTGTAAACGTACAGTAAAACCTTGTTAATTCAAACATGATTATTTCAAAATCCCGCTCAATTATCAGCATTTTCATGGTCTCGTATTTTGCAATGCAAGTTTGAGTGGATAATTTAAAGCGGCGGCCGGCACCAGTCCGGTTAATTCGAAAACTTTGGGTGCAATAAGCCAGTTTCACATCCCAATTTTGCCGCTAATCCGCTGAGATGACGGCCCTGAATAGCCACAAGGCGATGCAACGTAGCGATACTAATGAGCGATAGCTGAAGCACCCCAGCCTCGCTACTTCCAGTGAAAAAAAAAAAAAGAAAGAAGAAAATGATCTCAGGGTCAATCAAAACATGTGCTTGCGGAAAACTGGATGTGCTTCACTGCTACACTGCGGTGACGCACGGGCAGCATATCCCATGTTTCTAGCAAAGTCGGCAGGTCATGGTTCACTCATTCTTTTTGGGATCGTAAAGAAATTAATAAAAAACAGTTTGGAGGAATTCGCCACGTATGGAAACTTCCAATTGCCGGTTGCTCCAGCAATTTGCACCTTTGCACTGCTGGCGGAGATCGTGCCAGCAAAACCTACTTCGAAAACTAAGTTCAAAAGTTTCTAAGATCATTTTTTTTTCCAGCCAAAACACATAGCGAGTTTCATCATACTGGCTATTATTAAATTACTAATTATACCTGAAAGAATGTGTGAATCGTTGCATCATGACATGCTGACGCAGCGAGGTGCACGCGACATGCTGCTTGCGTGTCACTACTGTGTTGCAGTGAAGATGTTTCGTTTTCCGCAGGTGCACATTTCAGTTATCACGATAGCTTTTTTAAAATTTTTGTTTCCGTGGCAGTAACGAGCCGGCGCTTATCGCGAAGGCCACGGTAGATGATCTCAACACCTGCTGCATCACAATTGGGCAACGCAACAATGAAGTTTTTCTTTCGTCGTGCCGCCACACGCTGCAGCAGATCCTAGAAACTTTTGCTGCCGACAGTACAGTGGAACTTCGATGATACATACCCAGTTTCGCAACGATACGCATTTTACCATGAATTGGTTTAGTCTTGGCAAAATCTCCAAAGAAATAATGCACTAAAAACCTTGGTTATATCACGCAGTTTTCCGCCGAACAACTTTCAGGTTCCGTTCAAGGAGGGGGAAGAAAAAAACGCACATTTACTACTTGAATCAAACGCCGACCGAATATTCACGAATGCAAAATATGAACTTGCGTTCCCCTAGGTTGACAATTATGAAAGTAGAGAATGAGACAGGATGTCTTCTTAGAACGGGAGAGTTTGTTCGTCTGGAAGTCCATATGCTTCTACACAAGGCTATGTCTCACGCGTACATATGCGGGTTCGTTACCTATGCAAGCTTGTGGGGGAGCACGTGTGCCCAGCCACCCTTTCCCTGTTACGGCAGTGCGAAAACCTAGTTGCGGGGACATGACTGTCCCTTTGAGACACGAGTCAATAAAGCCTCTTGCGAAGAGATGGAACACGCCCGCGGCCGGCGCTCGTGATCGCCCTTTCCCGGCGCACGAAAAAGTTTCCCCTCCCTCAGCGAAGGAACGCATTTTCGTCAGGGGAAGGGAAACCGGGACGATGAAGAAAACCAGCGTGCCGACGACTGGACCCCCTATTTGACACCGGCTACGATAAAAGGTAGAACCCGAACACCCTGCGAGCCAAGGACGAACACGACCAAGGTGTAAGCGTCTACCCTTGTTATCTGTAGTTTCTCTACGCAACATTTACGCGTTATTGCTAACCTATAGCAATAATGTGTTGGTGTAGACCTAGCCTGTTGCCTTATTCACCTGAACCCGCTTAGTTGCAATGAGAAAAGCTACTGATAGGGGAGTTTAACCGTGCACGGTACGACTGTGTGCGGCTGGAACATTAGCTATAGGCTTCAGGGTCAGCCGTACATATGATGGACCCCTTACATCTCGTGCCCAATGTAACGAATTTGTCAACGCGGCTAGTTTTGTGGAGGCAAGCAACTACCGACGCTCCTTTAATCGTATGACAACAGGCATGCCGGAATTCCAAGATTTGTCAATGTTGTCTGATGTCGCGTCGCAGAGTGGCGACCCTTTGGCTAATGCGGGGGCACTTAACGTCAATATTCACAATAACAGCGGCAAATCATTAGTTGAACTTCACAAGCCAACAAATTACAACCTGCACAGCTCAATCACGCACGAAAGCGTTTATGCACACTCGTGATCTGTCGCCATAATGCGATAGAGATGACACAGGGTGCGACTCTTCTGATGGGAGAGACTGTTGCCAACACAGTTTCAGTTTCAGATGCAGGTAATTTTGGGACTGTTTATCAGTAGAAAGATGTACCTTGGATTCGTTTATTTCGTTTTTTTAAAGTACAGAATAAAGATTCGCTTCCACCTCCTACAACTAAGTGACGCTGCCATTAGCTGCAAGTGGCAAGAGTAATTTAATCTACCTTCTTTGCAGAGGCACAAAAACATGCCGTGGGCTTATTCAGGTGGTCTGTACCTGTTAAGCAAGGCTGAGTGGCACTGCCTATAATCCGAGTTTTTATATTACACAATGCCCGGATTATATGACAGTTTTTATGACCCCTTGTAAGTACGTGTCGTTCACTTGCAGGAAATGTCACTCATGTGGCCATAATGCCAGGAAAGGCACAGTGAGAGAGGCCATTGTTGTGGTGCAGGCACCTTTTATGCTTTTTGTTATAGAGCACTGTGGCCTTGAGTGCAAGCCTCAATCATGTGCCAGTCACTGAAGCTCAGACAAGAAGCATCTCTTCCTACCTCGCTGGAACCGCCAACTCTGAGCACTGCCACACCGCTGGCCAGGCGTGCGAGTCGCTCCCCAAGCTTCTCCTTCTCGTACTCGGAGTTGCTGAGCTCAATCTCGTCTCTGATCTGTCCCACACGGCGGTCGATGTCCTCCTTCTTGCCCTTGCCCTTAAGCAGCAGCGTGTCGTCCTTGGTGATGACCACTTCCCCCACCTGGCCGAGGTCGGACGCCTGCACGTCCTCTAGCTTGATTAGGTTGGCTTCGTCGCCAAACACGATGCCGCCTGTAGCCACTGCCATGTCCTGCAGCGTCGCCTTGCGGTTGTCTCCAAAGCCGGGAGCCTTTACAGCTGCCACCTGGAGGCCAACCTTGAGCCTGGAAGACGGTTCAACCACTGTCACCACTGCCCAGAACGAGGGGTGTGTACAGGTTAATAATTAAATTGCCAAACACAAATACTATATTTACTTCCATAATCCTCGAAGTCTTTTCCGCAGTAAACCGATGAAAAGTTGGGGGTGCGAGAATTATGCAAGAAAAATGTGCGAAAACTTCAGAGCAAAAAAGTAAATGAGTGGCCGCAAATTGGGATTCTTGCGCCAGCAACTACCTAGTAACTGCAAGCTTTGAGAACTACTAATCAAGACTTACTTTAGCAATAAAGCCACAAGGTGAACACAAAGCAACATTTATTTGAGACATAAAAGCCACAATAAACTAGTAGAGAATTATAATAGCGTATATTGTCGTTAGAACCCCTTGCTTTCCGACGCACACTTGAACGTATCACTCTGCTACATAAGATTGTACACAGCCGCAGTTGCATTGAAGCACCGATTTCTTTTTGTGATTCAGCACGACGAACCACGCGCCGATCTCACCCACTCAACATTGTTCCCTTCCAGCCATTTGTAAATTGCTTTAAGCATTCCTTTTTTCCAGCCGTTGTTGAGATTTGGAACAACCTAGATGGTTCCCTACGCGAAAAACCAATTGAACTGTTTTTGAAAGAACCGCCTAACCATATTTTGTAATATGTTTTAAATGCTTTGTATGTTTCTTTGGTATTGCTTAATGTATGTCCGTTCCTTTTCCTAATGTACCCACTCCTGCTATGTCTCGTGTATCGAGACAGCAGTATCTATAAATAATAATAATATGAAGCTTGCAGGCATAGTGTTAGCATTTGTCGTTCAACAGGAGCTCACCAAAGATTGGCGTACGGAGTTCGCAGCTTCACAGGCGCTCACAGCAAGTGCCATAGGAACACAGGTAAAACAGGAAACAACGTCATTTTCCCTTTATAACAACGTTTCCCATCCCCAACTTTCAGGACTTCATTGACAAGGCGCGCCATCTCACTAAGGATGATGATGAACTCATGGTGTCATTTGACGTCGTTTCCCTTTTTACCTGTGTTCCTGTGGCACTTGCTGTGAGTGCCTGGAGGCTGATGAGAAACTGGGCAAACGCACCATAGTTGAAGTGCAGGACCTAGTAAGACTACTGCATTTGTTTGAATAATACATTGTTTTCCGTCGTGTCATTTACAAGAGGTTGCATAGAGCCTTATGGGCACTTCTATCGCCGTAATGGCGGCAAACCTGGCTATGGAGTTTGAGGAAAGCCGGGCTCTGGCTTCCTTCGAGCCTGCTGCGAAAGTATTCTGATACGTTGATGATTGCTTTTACACCATAAAGCAAAATGTCCTCGCTGCATTCAACATCCACTTAAATTGCATTGATGAAACTATAAAATTCACCGTCGAAGAAAAGAGCTTTGGACGTCTATTTTTCTCTGACGTAATAATACAGTAGTAACTGACAGCGTCTATCGCTCAAAGTTGATAGGAAGGGTGCACACACAGCGGGCGATATTTTTATCTCGCTTGTGTCAACTCTGTAAGTCACAAACGGTCTGTGGGGGTTTTCTTTAATAATTAGGGCCCATGCACCAAGCCAGAAGACTTCGACTCCGATTTAGCATACATCTGACGTGAACTGAGCACGTGCAAGTACCCCTACCTGAAGTTTTATTGCTTTATCCGAGAAACGAGCTCTGCACCCGACTGAGCCACGCAATTCCCTCAGCCAGTGTTATGCCTTCATTCAGTGCGTTCATGGTATCAGCGAAGCCTTGGCGCGAATCCTGTGCGGATAAAATAGGCAAGTCGCGCAGACTTACGGGCCACAAGCGACATCACGGAGACCCTTGATGCTGACAAAAAAAAAAAGTTCCCTAGCGTTGTTTATAAGATTTCTTGCACAGACTGCGATTATGATACGTGAGTGAAAGCGGAGATTTGGAGCAACGTCTGAAACAGCACATAAATGATGTCTTTTCCAGTACTCTCGCAGAGCATGCAGAAACATGCTCTACTGCTTCAACTGAGACCGTACTTCAGTTATCTTCCGTGAAAAAAAATGAAAGAAAAAGCTGGGCAAAATGGCACTATCTGAAATCTTTGACAATCCAGACAACAGGGAACACGTTCAACCGCAACACTGGCGATCCATCTCTTACGTATGCAGGATGCCTCAAGCGGTAATTTTAGTGGAGTTAAGCTGGAAGCTTCGGCCTCCCAACTTGGTGAACAAGCCTTCTTTGTGGAAGCCAAAACCTCTTTGTATTATATTTTTGGCACCCTTTTGGTCAGCGTTGCATTTTTTTCTTTCTATAATGCCATTACATCCCGACCAAACGACATTTCGTCTTATTCTCGACTTTACTCGCACATTATTGGCGTGTTTCTATCACATGGGGTAGCTCCCGGTTTCCTACTGGATGCCAAGGGTTTGGTCTGCTAGACAGTGGCACACTATACGACAGCTGAAATGTCATATTTTTGACAAACTCTTGGTCGGCGTCCTGTCTTCTTTCTACAATGCCATTATATCCCAACCAAACGAGATTTCGTCCTATTCTCCACTACACTCCCACATTATAGGTGTGTTTTTTCATTTCATTCATTTCATTTATTGATACTGTCAGCTATTTGCGGGCTATTACAGGAGTGGAGTTGACTCATATAAAACAGAAATGTGCATAAGAGATACATGAAATAAAGAACCTTCACTACTGGAACAAATGATTTCAGAGCACATACAACAAATATATCATAATGGCTAAGCATATAGTTTATAGAGAAGTTAGTGAAAAATAAGCAACACTGCCAAAATACACATCATATTTTGCGCATAATTCTATCACATGGGGTAATTCCTCCTCTCCTACAGGATGTCAAGGATTCGTCTGCTAAACAGTGGTGCACAATCTGACATTTTGCAAAGAGGCTTACCTAAGCAACAGCTGTGCGATCGGTGTGAAGGCAGGCAATTATCAAAAGTTCCGTACAGCTCATGCGTTCGAGAGCATGCAGCATCTCACCAGCGAGACCCTACGCCACCGAGAACATGGAAAAAGCTGGGCGTGCAAACGATATCCCAAACGCAGCACCCGCGATCGCGGATGCGATAGCAGAGGCCAACGATCACACGCGAGCTGTGCGCGTCAACACTCCCCTGATTTGGGAAGCTGAATAAGTGGCTGGAGTGTCGTGCGAGTGACTTTCAGCGAGGCCTTTCGTCATCGTCAGCCACACGATGCAAGCGGTGTTTTTCAAGACTCGAAAGCAGTTGCGACGACTGCAACGCCGTTCAACGTCATAAGCTTAGCAATGGTATATGAAGTGTGGTGTGTGTGGCAAGCCTGGCAGCATTCTTTAGGAAGATCACGAATATGGCATCACTGTGAAGCTTGTGCTGACGTATGATGAGCGCAGAGAACTGAATATGCAGCTCGCTGAGAGCAGAAAAGAAATGTGGTGCTTGGCCCTTTCAAGATCAACGTGCTTGTGGTTCATGCAGCAATTAGCACAGAAAATCGCCAAACTATGTCGAATGACATTGTTTTCCAACCTGAATATCTCACAAAGAGGCATGCACACTAGGCATATCAAGATAACGTAAAATTGAAAATGAAGACTGCCACGCATTACTGATTACTGCACAAGCACCGTCAACACGCTGAATGGTGATCTGAACTATGGAAACCATGAAAACTTCAGGCATGCAATGAAAAGAAAATGCACCAAGAATGATGACTATACACCAGAACACAGCGAGCTCAGTGGTTGCTGCCATATTGATAAGCGTGTGGCGCCATCTATCGCAAGCGTGGCGATGCAACACTCAACTGCCAGGCGAGCAGACGCTCTGCAAATCAAACGCGAAACTTCACAACTAGAGTCCGGCTGCAAGTATGTTTCGCGCTGTTCCTGTACTGGAATTTTATGCTGATTTCGTGTGAAACATCAAGGAGACCTTCCTTGACAGTCCGGAATGTCTGTAGCACGTGCATTGCAGACTACGGAAGCAGCTTCATCAGGTACGCACTATTGCGATTGAAAGAAACACGAACAGCTGAAAGCGTTGCTTTCGACTCAGTCGTATTACGGCGTGCCTTGGCTGTGACAAGGCAGAATTTGTGCTGTAATCCGGCGTCAAAGTAGCGCTAGAATCCGATTCCAACTTATGTTCGCGCACTGCATGTGTATCAGTTGCCAGTCCTGCCAGGAACTCTGAACACACACGCGCTGCTATAGTGCCAGCCAGAACAAGATATTAAAATGCTACGGTGATGCCGGCCAAGGGCAGATAGTCATGTAACAGCTCGACCGAGTTTAAAGTCATGCTTTCCGTGCCGTACACGCATCGCGATAGTAGGCCGTTGCAGTTGTACTGAACATGCGCAATGCGTGCATCCACGCAGCGAGTCGTAATACGTGTATCCTATTGACATGCGGCCTGCGAAAGAGTACGGCAATAGTTTTGTGCCTCATACTACAGGCATACTGCATGCAAATCGCTGCTGTAAAGTGAAACAGCTGGAGTCGCGCTTGAATAAACGCAATAAGTATACTTACTTGTACCTTCACTGGGCTCATAGTTTTTCCTGCTGATTGCGATTATATCCTAAGGCAGTGGAGCTCGGCGTTTTTCGTTGTGGATGGAAATATGTACAATCGCAAAACATCGCACTGACACGATTCCCGCGATGCGCTGTGAACTTCACAGGCAATGCTCAGCAATCTCTTCCTCTTGCGCTGGTTGTTGTTCTATGAGATGGCAGCACAGTGGCACCATATGACATTTTATAAGCGGGCGTAGCGTGAACAGGCACTTTTTCGCATTTTAAAATCCCAAGAGCCACTGCATTCCATGCTAGCGAGGCGCACCTTGGCAGTTGTAAACAAATTATGGTGTCTCTGGGAGCGAGGGTATGGCTGGGAGCGAGATAGGCACTCATTTACACCTTCTCCTGTTGAATAAGATGCTCACCGTGCACCAAAGCTTCTTTTCCCCATTTTCTCAAAA